GCTGATGACGAGGATGATCACCACGATCATGATGATGATGCTAGTGATACTGTTCACCATGGTGAGACTGATAATGATGATGATGATGATGATGATGATGATGATGATGATGATGATAATGATGGTGATGCTGATGATGATGGTGATGATGATAATGCTGATGCTGATGCTGCTGATGATGATGCTGCTGCTTCGGCTGATGATGTTTATGCTGATGGTGATAATAAGTGAATGATGGAAAACGAATGCCAAGAATGACAAAGGAGAGAAATCTGCTTCCGGGTGAACACGTAACTGCCATACACCTGCATTCTGGGAAGCCGCACGTCGCAGGCCAGGAGGGGCGGGCGTCTGTCAAACCTCATCGCACTCGATGGACGATGACATTTACAGTGGAGGCCAGTCCACAAGAAGCCTTCCACATGAAATCCAACCCTGAGACCCCAGGACGTCCATCGAGTGTTGGTGTGGGAACGTCGCGCTCTCGACAACACAACCATCGAAACCTAAAGACACCCAGGGCACCCTGGAGGCAGGTAGGATGTTTCTTGGCATGGGCCTCCACTGTACAAGCAAGCACGCCTTGGAATACGCAGAAGCTGAGGCTGGTACGTACTGCATGCAGATTTCATGTGGCCCGCGGCTGCAAATCGACTAACCTTGCTTTAGCATGCGGGCTGCGAAGTAATGCTCAGCAATTGCCGCAGGGGTCTCAGAAGTGCACGGGTCCCGATACTCAAACCCAGAGCGCTTGATCACCGATGAAGGCCAAACGCTGACCCGGGCAGCTTCGCCACCAGTGTCAAGGTTTCCGCGCGCATGCGTGCCCCATGTGCTCCCCCCCTTGTGGTGGTCGACCCCAACACGAAACAGCGAGCGAGCGCGAGCGGAAGGCGTGCCCAGCTGTGCTGCGCAAGCAGATCGTAGCTCCAGCACCTCTCATTATTGTTCCGCTTCGGCGGGACTCCCTGGCGCCCCTCGAAGGTGTTACATGTGTTGCGTCGGCCGACTTATCAAAACGAGGCATGGTTTCTGCGGCTCCGTGGCGAACCGCATGGATGGTCGCTTGGAATGTCCCGCAGAGCCCCCCTACCGCGCCTTGGCATTCTCGCGGGGGAGTGCGACGCCATGCGGTTCCTTCTGCGCCAAGCGAAACAGCGCCTCCAAAGCTCACCAGCGCCCGCCCAAAGCGTCGCACGCTTCACCCAGGGCCTCAACAAAAGACATAGCAAGACCTCTGTCTAGCGACCACCCTGGCCAACCGACACGTGGCACACGCCCCTTACAATTCAGCGTTGACCCGTCGATGTTATATGGGTTCGCTTATGTTTGCCGTATTGAGCATAAGATACATAACATCGTACAGTCACCGGCGAAAGAGACCCACGAGCGATGGGGCCGACCATTGTAAGCACATGCAACCACCAGATAGCGACAGTGCCGCTCGCGAAATCGAGGGTGCGAAATTTAAATGCACACCTCCGACCTACCTGCTCTTGGCGGTGTTTTGTTTCAAAACTGTTGGCAACTCTTTGCCCCAATATGATTTCCGCGCGCGGGGCCTGGTTCTACGGCCGCGCGCCTTGGCAGCCCCCAGGGGGGGTCCGACCTGGTTCTCCCTCCCCTCCCCCTCCCATCCCCCTTCCTCCTGCCTCCTGCCTCCTGCCTCCTCCTGCCTCCTGCCTCGTGCCTCATCCTCCTCCTGCCTCCGCCTCCTCCTCCTCCTCCTTCTCCTCCTCCTCCTCCTCCTCCTCTCCTCCATCAACATCCTCTCCAATACTCATATCCTCCTTCTCTTCTTCCGCCTCCGACGACTAGACAGAGACAGAGACCGAGAGAGAAGCGAGAGGAAGGAAAAAGGGGGAGGAGGGAGGCAGGGGGAGGAACCGCGGATGAAACGCAGGAGTAGGAGGGGCGGAAGTCGCGGGGGCCTGAGGGGGAGGGTCGACGCGGAGGTGGCCAGGGGGGGGGGGGAGCGGCGGGGGGCGGAGGGCAGGGGGGAGAGGGGGGGGCGGAGGGGGGGAGAGGATCCTTCCTCGCAGGCGGTGGGGACTCGCCGGGGGCCGTAGACTCGAACGCCTGCCCGGGGCGCCCCGCGCGCGGCGGAGCCCCAGCGCCGCGAGCGCGTCGCCGAGCACGCGGCCCCCCGAGGCTCCCCTCTGCTCGGGAGGGGGGGGGGGCGGCGGCGGCGAGGGCCGCGGGCGGCGCGGGCAGAGGCCTCCTGGCCCCCCCGACGCACGAGACCGAGCGGCGAACATGTTCCGATCCTCCTCCTCCTCCTCCTCCTCCTCCTCCTCCTCCTCCTCCTCCTCCTCCTCCGCATCTCTGCACGTATCCGCGCCCTCGCTGGGGAGGGGGACGGCCGTTTAGAAGGAGACTGCTTCTTAGAAGGCGCCGGCCCCACAGCTGCAGACGAGGCCTGGTCCTTCTAAGAAGCAGGGGTGTTTCTAAGAAACCTTCCCACGTCCCCCCTAGCCCCCTCTGAGCGTGGCCGATTTTAGGTTCCGGGGCGCGGTCCCGTGGAGACATATCCCGCTCCGCGCGCATCCGCGAACAGACGCCCCGCACCCGTGGGGTCGCGGCCCAGGGGCTGGGCCGGCGAGGCCGCGGGTACGGACATGTTTTGCGCCCGCGAGCGAGGCCAGGTGGCATTTCGACAGGGGGGTAGGTCGAGGGAAAGGGAGGGTTCGGTGAACTGGGCAACGGGGGGTCTGGATGTGCCAGGAAGAGATGTTAGGATACTGCTGCGAACTTCTAGCATTTAACGTAGATTCGGCGCGGGGATCCCCATATGTGCATCTCTTTCCTGGCACTGTCCTTAATGCGTGTTTGAGCGTGTACTAACATGACTAATTCGGTGTACGACTTGACCGGAGAATGAATGAACCAGTGTGAGTTTGAGTGAGAATCAGTCTGGGTATGACTCGCCAAATATGAACGGGTCTGAAGATGAGTCGGTTACAACTGAACCTGGGGATGGGCGAGTCTGAGTATATATAGGTATAAACACATTATTATTATTATTATTATTATTATTATTATTATTATTATTATTATTATTATTATTATTATTATTATTATGATGATTATTATTATTATTATTATTATTATTATCATTGTTATGAATAGTATGTTTACTAGTATTATTGATATTACGTATTGTTATCCGTAGTATTGTGATTAGTAGTATTATGAGTATTCCTATTCTCATTCTATACAGATTTACTAGAACCATCGCGCGCCGCTTCGCGCGCTCTCAGGTTCTAGCAGGCCCCAGTCCTTGACGGATTTACTGCTCTACTGAAGTAAGTAGTGGACCACAGTCCACGCATACCAATCTGCATTCCGAAAGGCCTTCGAGGAAAATGGTTGTGTAGGGGGGCGGAGGCCGTATGAATCGGGTTTCCAGAAGGCCTTCTGGGAGCATGGGTTTGGGGCGTCTGGGGGAGCCTGTTAGGGCGTGCCGTCGTCGTCGTCGTCGTCGTCGTCGTCGTCGTCGTCGTCGTCGTCGTCGTCGTCGTCGTCGTCGTCGTCGTCGTCGTCGTCGTCGTCGTCGGCGTGTTGCTACGACCCATTCCCGAACCTGACCTTGGGGGTGGCCTAACCTGGCGCAGCCCCGATTGGCAACAGACCCGACACGTTCCGTCCAAACCGAACGCCAGGTTCGCACGCGCCCAGCACGAAGGGACGGCAGTTGCGGTCGCCAGTTGTCTCGCGCCGAGTCCGTACGTTTTACTACGGGGACGGGCTTATTTGTGCCTTTTGAAGGCCCTCGTGGGGCCCTCTTCGGCCATCTTGAAGCCATCTCGGGCCCTCTTGGGCCTCGCTGAAGCTGCCCTGGGGCCCTCTAGGGCGTCCTCTGGACCCGGAAGTCATGTTCCTGGAGAGGCTTCCGGGAACATGATTTCGAACGGGGCCCTCTTGGGCCTCCCTGAGGCCGTCTTGGGGGCCTCCTGGGCCGGCTTCGGGGCCTCTTGGGCCGTCTCGGGGGGTTCGGTGAGCCCTACAGGCCGACCCGTTGGCGCCGTCTGGGGCCCTCTTTGGTCTCTCTCGGGTTGTCTTGGGGCTCCGCGTGGGCGTCTGGGGCACAGCGAAGACGAAGCCAGCGAGTATGCTGAAAATGCACGTATTACAGAGGAAAAGGGCAGATGCTTGCCTCTTGAAGGCCCTCTTGGGGCCCTCTTCGGCCATCTTCAAGCCATCTCGGGCCGAGCCTCTTGGGCTTCGCTGAAGCTGTCCTGGGGCCCAGTCGGGAGCGCTGGGAGCCTGGAAACCATGTTCCCGGAGAGGCTTCCGGGAACATGATTTCGAACGGGGCCGTCTTGGGCCTCCCTGAGGCCGTCTTGGGGCCCTCCAGGGCAGGCTTCGGGGCCTCTTGGGCCGTCTCGGGGGGTTCGGTGAGCCCCACAGGCCGACCCTTTTGGGCCGTCTGGGGCCCTCTTGGGTCTCTCTTGGGCTGTCTTGGGGCTCCCTGTGCAATGGTCCCGCTTATGACCACTGCCCTGACAGCATCCCTGATAGATGCTACTCTCTTCTCTCTTCTGACAATACGTTGAAATCACTGTAGGGGATGTTGGGCTCGTCTCAAACTGGTCGTCTATGATAGGGCAGTGTCTGTGCGATGCTGATCACACTATGGTAGGGAGCAGGATCTGTTTGTTAGCGGGCAGTTCGCTGCTCTGCGTCTCTTGGGCGCACGCCAGAAATCCAGCGTCGCTGTGACGCTGCAAGGTCTTGAGCCAGAACGGTTTCGGTTGAACCTGTTCTGTTTATAATATATGTTGCAACTTGTTGCTAGGGAAACGGAGGGCCCACTAAGCAAGGCTTGCTGAAACCTGGAGTCTTGGGAGGCCCGATTCGCCGGGAAACGCTTGGCTAACATACACGAGGCTCCTTTGGAGCCTGAAGCATATATATGTCACGCTAGGCCTCTAGGGGCCACCTGTCGTAAGTAGGCTCTGAAGAGGCAGGCTCTGGGCTGTGAGTTGCATGCCCAACAGCTAAAGATCGATGTTACGGCATCGAGACCCGCCTCTGGCAACTGAATTCACAGAAAGCACAGAGCGCGTGAGCGGCCTAATCATGCCCCACAGGGCAGCATCTCCAGCAGGGCTCTCCTGCTCGTCGGGGTTGTCGCGGGCGTAGTAAATCAGGGCCTCCAGCATAGCATCCTCGTTATCGTCTGAGATCGGCTTGCCATGGTCGAGCTTGTCCAGGCCCTCGGTCTTGCGCTTCCGGGCACTGCGGTGAAGTGGGTCGTCCACGAGTCTCCAGCGTTGGCCTGATCTGAAGAACTCCAGCAAGACCTTGGCGGCACGATCCTTGCTCAATCCGTCGGCTAACATGGCGTCGCTGTGTACCCAGCGTATCTGGAGGGCCGTCTGCTCCTTCTGCTGTCGAATGCCCAAGCACTCGATGCTCGTCCGCTTGTCACGTAGTCCGAGACCAGCTGACTCACTCTTCTCGATCGCGTCGTAGCCCGACTTACCGTCTGTGACAAGTACGCCAGGGCAGGATGACATGGCGTCGTTCACGTGCTGCTTGTTGGTGTTGTCCACTTGACCGCACTCCAACTCGTAGATGAACAGTCGCACGTAACTGATCTCGTCCAGGGTCTCCGTCATCATCTGGACCTCCGCACTCGTACTGCTTCTGGCCACTCTGGGTAGCTTGCATGATCTCCAAGAGATAGGCGCAACCGTCTCTGTCGAGGCACTCAGGAAGGACAGGGGGGCCAGAACAACGATTTTTCCGCCTTGGGGCTCGCCAGTGATACGGGCGGCCCATGCTGCATCGCCCCAGCCAACCACGGCAATCTGCTCATATGGCCGGGATGAGCGTGACTACGTCGGCGGTGTCATTCATGGTGCGGATAAGCTTATTGATCTTCTGGATGGTTGAAACTGTGGCCGTAGGTATCTCCGCTTGAAGTAAAGAGACTTCTGCGCTGAGCCAGGGGGCCGACTGCTGAGCTCGCCATCCGACTGTACCAAGTCGGCCTCGTAGGTATGATCTCTCCTTGTCTGAAACTCCTTCTGTTGGTTTCCTCCCACGTCGTATCTTGATGGGCTCCACGTTCAGGCTGTAGCTGTCCTGTGCGAGGCTGCAGGTATAATCCTCGTTCTGTCGAATGCTGATGCCACACTGCACGAACGCTCGGCTTTCCCAGGGTGTCCATTCGAACGCTTGTTGAATCTCCTGACGCTTCTTGAGAAAGGCCGAGTTGTTGTGATCGCCGGCAATCATCATATCGTCGACGTGTAGGATGACCATGCCGACCATCTGGTTGCCGTCTCGGATGACCCAGACGCAAGGCTCGCACTGCACGATCTCCAGCTTCAGCGTTCTGAGCGTGTCCTGGAAATGGAGCCACCACTTGCGAGGAGCATGTACAAACCCATACATAGGCTTGAGGAACTGTAGTACATCGTCATATTTCATGCCGAATGCCTGACGAACATCTTTCGGCGGGTCGGCGTAGATCTCCCTCTTCTCCTCGTCAGTCTCGCCCTGGAGGAAAGCTGTCACTGCGTCTGCCTTCTCCAGCTTCCACTTGTGTCTTGCTGCCATGGCCAGTGGAAGTTGTCGTGCACGTCTTGCGGCAACTGGTGACTCTGTCCGTAGGTGTAGTAGATCGGGGTCGCTGAAGCCAAGCACGACCAATCTGGCCTTGCCTCGGAGCACGTTGCCCTGCTCGTCCTTCTTCCAGGTCAGCACGAAACGCCAGCGCAGTAGGCGCGCCGGGTCGATCCCCTTGCGGCTGAGGATCCTGACAGCCTTCGCGCTGAGGACCGAGGTGCACTCCTTCTGCTGGGCCTCAAGTAGCAGCTTCTTTTCCTCAGGCGTCGCCTTCTTGAAAGAAACCTCCACTCGGCCCTTCCGGGCCTGTGATGCCACGAAATTGCTAGGGTTGTCCATGTAGGCCATGAACGCGTGCTCGTTGCTGACGGGGATGTCCAGCACGATGAGCTCGTCGTCCTCCTTCGTCTCGTCGTACTGCTGGACGCTGTAGGCGTAGTCCCCGTAGAAGTTGCCTTCCTGCAGGTAGTAGGAGAAGGCCTCCTGGGTCGCTGTTGATCCTCTGCTTCTTAGCAGGTGGCTCGGTCGAGCCAGGCGACCGCAGCCGGCGCTTGTCGTTCATGTCAGGCGCCGTCGTCTCGTCGAGGTCGTCGTCCGTGTCCACCGCAATGGGTTGCTGAGACGGACGCTCTGCTAGGTCGTCGTCGGGAGGGGCCTCCATGAAGATCTCTTCTTCTGCAGGTAGCTCGGCTTCCTCTTGGTGTCCAGCTTCGTGGCCTTCCTCTTGTGGAATGCCTGGTGGTGCTTCTGGCTGTACTGGCTGTATGAGAGGGTCTTGGACCTCGGCCGCCTCGGCCCAGGGATTGCCCTTCTGCCGTAGTCGCCTTGGAGGTCGCGGTCCAGGAAGAGGTCGCTCTTCCAGTCCTGGGGGTGCCTCGATGGCTCCACCACCTCCGCCGCCTCCTCCTCCTCCTGGGCCCAAACTCCGAGGATCTCCTCGTGGCACGGGTAGCTCCTCGTCTTCTTGAATGGCCCAGGGTCCGCTCGCGTTGCCCTCGAAGGTGCGAGCGCTGACAGACTCGCCGTCGTCAGCGGCCAGGTCCTCGCCAGTAGGCGGGGACTCGTTCGAAAGGTCGATCACCTCGTTCTGGTCGAGCAGCTTCTGGGCGTCGCCGAAGGCCCATGTCCCCGGCTGCTCGCGACGCGAGCGTAGAGAGTCCATCGCCTCCTCGGAGGGCGTAGCAGGTCGAAGCTGTTCTGGGACAACTCGATAGAGGCGTCCAGCCAGTGTGATGTTGACCACTGTCCCAGGTAGACCAGGTCGATGTCCCGAGCTCGATGGCTCGCGGCAGAGTACTCGTCCAGGTCCGCACCAGCGGCCTCGCCCAGGCATGGGGCAGCTGCCCAGGTAACCCGTGCATGCTATCGAAGACGCCTACGGCGAATCACCGCCGCCCCCTGCCTTTTTGGAAGCGCCGACGTGGCCGAACGTTGAGGCCAGACCTGCCAAGCTATCGGACCACGTGTTCCCCGAATCGGTTTGGAAAGCCTTCGGGGAACACGTGGGCATCTTGGAGGTCATCTTGGCCGTCTTGGAGGCCTCTTGGGCAAGCTTTGGGCGATCTTTGGGGCTTCTTGGACCGTCTCGGGCCAGCTTCGAGCCAACTTCGGCCATCTTGGTGGGTCCCTGGCACGTCTGAAGCCGTCGGAAGCCGTTTGGGGGGCCTCTATGGGCCGACTTGGGGCCCGCTTGGAATGCTCCAGGGCCGTCTTGGAGGCCATCTTGGGCGTCTGGGAGGCCATCTTGGGCGTGTTTGAGGCCTCTTGGGCCCTCTTGGGGCCCTCTAGGGGCCATCTTGGAGGCCACTTGGGCCATCATGGGGCTCTCTTGGGGGCCTCTTGGGCGATCTTGGGGGCTTCTTGGGCCGTATTGAGCCGTCGGAGAGCCGAAAAGGCGCAAATGCCAAAATCCTTCCCTTCAAAACCTTCAAAAAAAAAAACGCAGCACTAAAAAGGCCCCGGTGGTTTTCCCGCCATCATTCGGGCCTCGACTCTCCTGGAGGACCCCTCTTGGAGGCCTCTTGGGCCGTCTGGGAGGCCTCTGGGGGGCCTCTTGGGCCGTCTTGGGCCGTCTTGGACTCTCTTGGGCCGTCTTGGAGGCCGTCTTGGACCATCTCGGGCGGACTTGGAGGCCGTCTTGGGCCATCTTCGCGATTTTTTGAGGATGTCCCGAGCGAAACGGCCGTTCTTGGAGGATTTTTTGCGGTCGTTGAGCACGTTTGGGAAAATTCCGGGTGGCCGGCGGGTTCTGCCGGAGCCCACTGGGGAGTTCTTTATTCCTCTGGGAATTCTTTTGGAAAAATAAGAAAAAAGACCAAAACCAAAACCTGAAACTTACAGCACGCCGTGCACCCTGCACCCCTGCAAGCAGGGTGCGGCGGATACTGGCCTTCGGCCTATCGCGCCACCGTCCTTGGGTGGTGGGCCAGAGGCCATGGATGTTGACTGGAATCTCGTGATCAGCTTCCTTGCAAGGGGCATCTGGAGGCAGTCCATGACGTTTCCTGAAAAGTCTTTTTTTTTTGGGGGGGGGCAGCTTTGGAACTTCTTGGAGGCTTCCTCTTTGGAGCTTCTTAGAAATCTTTGCGGGCCGCTCGAGGGCCTCCGGGGCGGGGGGCTCAGATTTTTGATTATGGGATCCCTTCTTGGACCCCTCCACGGCGATGTCTTGGGCTGTCTTGGGCGCGCCGTGGGCCGTCTTGGCGCCCATCCTTCATTTCCGGGAAAAGTTTTCCTAATTCCCCCACCAGTGGCATTCTTTGTTTTTCGGGCCCTCGGGTTGGCATCGGTGCTCGAAGCGGTAGTCGTCCCGCGTGTTCTTGAGCATTGCTCGCGGCGCATGGGGTCCGAAACGCGTGCAAGGGACTGACGCACGGGGTGAAACTGGAGAACTGATACAACAAGTGGGCATCCTTGCATCTCACTTTATAAAACGATGCTTGGCGTGCACTGCGAGTGCGTGCGATGTCATGCGCGTGCGTGTGTGTGCGTGTGCGTGTGTGTGCGTGCATGTGTGTTCGTGCCTGCTTGCGCGCGCGCGCGTGTTAGTGCGTGCGTAGGGAGGCCGTTCGCGGCTGGCGGCCGAGCCCTTCGCGCCGTTTTAGGCGCGCGCCAGGCCTCTGAGAGCGAAGCCGACGTGCTACTTCCCCCCCCCCCCCCCCCCCCCCCCCCAATAATCCTCATCCTCTTGCTCCTCCTCCACGGTTTTGTTATTGTATTGTAGTTGTCTTGTGCGCTAGGATTTCGGCTGACAAGACATTGCAGCGGGGCTTGCAGCAGGGGCGCAATACCTCACATGCATGCGGTTCCTGGTTGTTTAAAAAGTTCCTCCGACATCCTTGTGCGATTTCGAAGAGAAGGATCCCACTCAAGGCCCCGAGACGCCTGCGAGGCCCCGAGAGGTTTGAGGTTGTCTGCGGTTCTTTTTAATACGGGATCAATGGGAGCACATCGCCACAAGGATGCTGGATATAAGGCGCTGCGGCGTTAAAGTCAGACATATCTGACAAGAGCATGTCAGCGCCATGAGGTTTCCACCTGCCAGGCCCCCTCTCTCTGAACGGGGGCGCGCAAACCTTGATCCGCTGGCCCCGCCGGGCCTTCAGGCATGCAGGCTGTCGCGCGCGCTTTGGCCTTTCATGGCCAGCCAATGGCGGACCACGTAATCAAGGAGGCCCCACTGCAGGCCGACTGTCTCGATTGATGGGAGGGGGGGCCAGCGGCAAGGGCCATGGGCCTTGGCATGTCTCTGTCAGGTAGCCCGGCCGAACAGAAGAAGCGCACTTGCCCCTGGACGCGCGGCCCTCGCGCGTGCGACACTAGAACATCATCGATTCCTACGTTGCCAAATGGCGACGAAACGGAATTGGCGATCAGCACCCTCCTGCGTTGGCCTAACTGGAGTGCAGCTCGCAATGACTCTTCTGGTTCGACCGTCCGTGGGTCTTGCAGCGAATACATTGCGAATCCGCAGGCCCGCCAGCGCAGACACCATAGGCCCATCCTTTCCTGTTCCCTCCTTCCCCTGTCACCCGCCCGCCCACCCCTCCTCACCTGCCCCCGCTCCAGATCAACCAATCGACCAACCAGCCCGCCAATGCACCTGCATATCGGTCACGCAACAAGTCCTCTCAAACCCACCAACCAGTCAGCCGGCCAGCCAGTAACGACGAAGGTTTTTTTCGAAACGTTTCCAACCTCATCGTTCTACAGGGTCAAAAAATGGCATTTGGCAAAGCCCTGAGGATCGACCGCGACCGAACTTCTCAAATGTGATATCAAGCAGTCGCGGGTACACTTTGCGGCGTAACTGCCTGTCGTCACCAACTGCGCGGCGGGTCTCTGTTTTCGTTGCTCGGTGTCTGCCCTCCAGCGCAAAACATTTGGCTTCTGTCCGAAACTTAGTCAAGGCCGTGATCCGCTACCGTGCTCCGAGGCACGAAAGGGAGTGCTCCCCAGGCTTCATGTCTCTGTGCTCAGGGGCAGTCGGGCCAACAAAGTACCAAGAAACGCTCAAGGGGCCTCCAAGATGGCCCAAGAACACTCCAAAACGCGAAATGGCCCAAGAAGCTTCCAAGAGACACCCGAGGAAGACAGAACTCGTTGCTGCGCACGTTATCGAATTGGCTTGTGGCTGACTTGGAGGATCTGGATTGTTCGGCCCCCCGACGCTTCAAGACAGCCCAAGAGGCCCCCTCGTGCAAGATCGCCCCGCAACCGCCCAGGAAGCGTCGAAGAGGGCGCCGAGAGAGTGCACGCGCGCCAAGACGGCCGAAGAGACTTTCGAAATAGCACTGAAGGCATTCGGGCTGGGGCGTCGCCCGATTCGATGTTTGTTAACCTTCTGATGGCCCCGACAAGTCAAAGAAGGCCCACGTGGTGCTCCAAGAGGCCTAACAAGCCCAAGAAGCGTACAATTCAACCAAGGCCTGGTGGTGGGATTGACCGCAGGCCATTAGATGACATGGAACAGAAGGTGAAACTTGGGTTTGATGCACCCCCCCCCCCTAATTCTAAAAACAATGACTGGTGTTCTTCCAAAAGAGATGTCAATTCACGCGTCCTCCCCACGGCGCCATCACCAGATTGAAGGATGCTGAGAAACGCCCAGAATGTCACGAGACATCGAGTCTTTCTCTGGAGAGGCCCTCCCAGTCCCACGTTCACGGTATTCCAAGCAGTGCCAAAGGTGAGTGAGCAGCACTACCCTTGTAATCGAAGCTCCCGGGTTGCAGGTCGCAAAGGTGTTTGGACGCTCCTGGGGTTTTCGAGGAGAGGGGGAATAGGAACAAAGAAAAACGATACCAACGCCACCATGTAGAACCAGCTCGAGAGGCCAGCGCGGGTCTCCCTTGTGGTGTTGGCATCGCCTTTCGCTCGAGACATCCTCCATCCCGGACTCGGGGAGGGATCGTGGGCCTCCTCTCTGGAGGAGGCCTCCCCGGTGGTTGTGGTATCGCTTTTCCTTGCGCCGAGGGGGAGGGCGAGGGTAGGGGGCCTGGACGGGGGGTCATTTCCTTTTAAGATTTGTCGAGGAAATGGCGCTGCTTCACAGAATAGCAATCCCCCTTGCGGTGACCCGCCTTGGGGCTGCCCTCGTATTCGTAAACAATACCGAGGCCCGCAAGGCTTGCATGCACTCTGAAGCAAAGGCGTGCACATGCCCACCATTCGTGCCAGAAAGTCGGGTCCTAAAAAACGTGGTCGGAAATTTGTCCTGGCCCGCGGGCCAATGGATGGTTTGCGAAAAATGATCTAGCGTTTCCAACTGGATGCCGTGTCCCACTATACTGTTGCAAAGCAGCTCGACGACAAATTGTCCATGTCCCCCGCTCGCAAGGCCGCAGTGCATCCAATCATAGAAATCATGATCTATCGGGTTCACGAGTCTTCTGTGCCGCGCAGAAAGTGGGAGGGCGAACGGGGGTAAGTCAGGCCCCATGCCATATGTGTTAATTTGTGCTGGCCCTGGGTGATTCTACCGAAGTTTTGATGGAGATAATCCCATTTCTTGAAGAACCGATCTGGGGTCTGCAATTCAAACTGAGACGGTTTTGCCACAGCATACTTATGCACGGTGGTCGAGGCGTCTGCCCGATTTTCGACGTCGGCCGAAGTGGGATTGATCACGTTCTCGCAGCGCACGCAACAAATGTAGCCCCCGCAGCCCTTGAGCGAGAAAGTAGATCTGAACGCTTTGGCGCCCTGCACAATGAATCCGAGGCTACCCTTCAGAAGGACTTGACCACTCGAGGATTTCTGCCGGATTCCCGAAATCCGCCACCGTGCACATTTTGCGCGCAGTATGGAAAGTCCACAGGTCCTTCGTTCAGCCTCCGGTCGCATTGGCCCCGAGAAGCGACCAAGCAATTCCTGCGGGAGGCCCGCCTCTTCCAGAACGCCCAGCCGAAGCTCCAGAAGGCCCCCGAAAAGCACCCGTGAGAAGAAAGCCAAACGAAGCCCCAGGAGGCTTCCCCAAGGCTCCCACCAGGCTGCACCGCGTCAAAAAAAAAACTTCAAGAGGCCCCCCACGATGCTCTGACCAACACCCAAGAGGCCTCTGACCCGCAACCCACGCACGGTGTCGTGATTGGCCGAAGGCCAGTCGGATAAAGCTTGCCCCCCCCTCGTCGAAAAACTGGTCGAGAATCCGCCGCAGCGCCCGCGGCGCGCGGGGGCGCGTCAGACAAGTCGACGCCAGACCTGGCACTCCAACGGGCATTCGCTTTCCCATCGTTCCTGGACATTGAGACTTGTTTTCCTTTTTTTCCTATACTTCCTTCCCCCTTTCCTTCCCCCTCCTCCGTCCGATTCCTTCCCCCCCGCCCCCGTCTGCAAAAGCTCTCATCATCGTGTTTTTCTCCCTGCTCACGGGGGCGCTCCACGGGATCCCTGGAGATTCTCATTGGCGGGGCTTGCTAGCACGAGCTGAATGGATAATCTGAAACAGGTAGGAGAGCCCGCCAAGTATCAGATCTTGCCGGGTGGATTTCATAAGCCCGATGGTAAACCAGCCTTCATCCCGCGATCGCAACCAGTGCGGATATTCTTTGAAACTCCTATACAAACATTGAACTTCGCGCGACGCATCTGGTCGCAGCATCGATTGAGGATTCGTCTCACCGGAGTACAACAACACAGAGCACTGACCGTCAGTGAGTACTTTCAGGAAGTCACCATACCATCCGTAATCTTCACACAAGAACCAAAGCAGTGCGCACGGATTAATGACCTCCCATTGAAACGGGTCACCATGGATTTGTGGAACCTCAATTGCCCGCACCAATGGCCCATACGGTCTGTTCATGTTCCATGTGTCACGGTGTTCACATTGTTTCCTCTCGACGCTCTCGGTCGTGCCATTGAGCGCCGCTGCAATTCGCGCGGCCGATCTCTTGCTGATATTGTGGTCCGTTAAAAAATCGATCGTTCGCTTGGACATGCATTGATCTGAGCCAACAAAAAGCACGATCCAGCCGAACAAAGGACACAAGAACGTGAATCAAGAACACAAGCCCCTTCCCCGAAGGCCACGGGACCCGTGGAGATGCCAAAACAAAAAAGACATCCCAAAGCGAAGAACAGAAGGGTACGCTCCCGAAGCCGAGGAGGTTCTTTACCCTCGTGCTGGCTGTGTCGAAGGTGGCGGGAGAAGAGCACGAATATGAATTGCCCTAGATCCCCCCCGGGTCTCATCACGTATTTCACGATGAACATGCGGCGCGAAATTTTAATTGGGCTCCAGATGGCTCCGGTATGACTCCAGGATGGTCTAGCCTTCAAAATTGCGCCAATAATCCCTCGCCATGGCTCCTGAAGATCTTGGAGTTGTCCAAAGAAGGCGCCGCAAAGGCTTCAATGGGCTTCGTGTTATATCCCCTGCGTGAGAAGCGAAAAGGCATGTGTTTGCAAACGGTTTATGTATCCAACGTGGTCGTCGTCGTTCTATCGTCCTCCTCCTTCCGTTTTTCCTCTTGTGAAAGCTATAAGGTGCAGGGCTTGCGCTTTCTTGGGCAAGGCAAGTTGCTTGCGCATGTTGTTTTGGATGGGCTGGCTGGCTGGATGGTTTTGGTTACGTGTACTTGCATGTTTGGTTAACGTTTGGTGTTCTTTGGTTGTCGTTTGCTTATTGCGTGGTTGCAGTCTTGGTTACAAATGGTTGGCAACCAACGTGTCGTCGGTTACGCAACCGAAGCGCACGCGATGTGCATCCGCGGTTATAAGCTTGTAACCAAACTGGACCGCCATGTGAACCGAACTGGTAACCGGGAACCGGCGGCCGAACGAACCGAACCGCGCGAACCGGACTCCAAACCGAACCAGTCAGAACCGGACCGGCCGCGTCGAACCGAACTGGCGAGGCGAAACCGGCCCGGACGCCCAAACCGAACCGGCTGGAACCGAACCGGCCCCCCAGGCAAATCCTTGGACACCCTCGGACCCCTTGGAGACCCGCGGAACCCTCGAAGACCCTCGGGGTCCTCTTCCTCCTCCTCCGCCTCCTCCCTCCTTCTTCCTCCTCCTCCTCCTCCTTCGCTTCCTCCTCCGTCCTACCTCCTCCTCCTCCCTTCCTCCTCCTCCTCCTCCTCCTCCTCCTCCGTCCTTCCTCCTCCTCCGCCTCCTCCTCCTCCGCCTCCTCCTCCTCCTCCTCCCCTGGCGGGCGCCGCGCGCGACGGCGACGGCGACGGCGACGACGACGACGGCGGCGGCGGCGACGACGACGACGACGACGACGACGACCGGGAGGGGGCGGGGAGGAGTCGGGCGCGCGGCGGACCGCGGGAGGGCGGGCCACATCGGCGGCCCCCCCGCGCGAGGGCAGGGGGCCGCCTCCGGGGTACCCGGGTTCCCGCGGGAACCACCCCACCAGCAGTCCACCCGC